CGACTCGACCTTTTCGATAGCACGAAAGTGTCGTGGTCTAATTCTCTACCAAATACGACCTTGGCTGTGCGGCTGAACACAACCTTCACGCCAAGCCAATACATTCAACGGATAATGCGAACTTGTCGAAAATCGGCTAAGTTCTGTATTCTCGCGATTCACTCTATTTCCGAAGCAAGTTACCTAAAAAATCCGACGTATAAGAAAACACTCGTACCAGAGCTCCTAAAGCCGTACGAATCTCGGAAGGCCAACAGTTCAAAAAGCACCGTAAAGAAAAACACTTCTTTCGGGGAAACAATTTACGCGACCTCTCGGTCCTAATTGCTCTAGCACAAATCATAAAACAACCTAACATCCAAACAGGAATGTAAGTTTTAATTGCGAGTATCCGCAAACGAACCAAAGTATTCCTGCAAAGCAAGGTTAAGACGAAACCCTCGCAACACCGCGCAACATCTTCGAGCCCGCAAACGTTCCGAACACGAAACGCGGCATATAAAATAAAAACCAACTTTCGGCACTGCGAGACGTCGCAGACGCCCGGAGAATAGTTTTTCGACAAAAATACCTTCCTCGATAAAGTCATTTTCTTGGAAGACCTAACAGTCCGTCCGCGACTATAAAATTACGCAAAACTTCTTAACGTACGTATCCTTCGCGAAGGCCAAAACAACGTAAACGTCTATCACCTAAAAAGTTTGTTGCTGATCACAACAAACTCGCAACAGTCCTAAACAAACTTAAGTTATCTCGCAGAGATAGCTCTCGAACACCCGACACAAGGGTAATAGCTCTATAAAAGAAATCCAAACTTTTGGTCAGCACTTCCGGGCAACTTAGAAATTGTTCCCGGTGAGATGCCCGGTTCCAACCAGACGAATCTTATAAGCCGAGAACCTATCGCGGATTCTAAATTGGTATGGAATCAGGTTAAAATCGCAACAGGAAAAACGAAAGCCGACTAGTCATCGCATAGCCTCAATCCGAAAGTAAACCTAGGTCTTGCCCTAAACCCAGCACACTGGTCGCTAACGTCTCAAGGCATGAATCGAGATCCTAAAGGCATGTCTCTTCGTCTATATCTAAACACTCACTCGATTTACTAAACATCCTAATACGAGTAAACGAACAAGGCGATACACTAAGGGAAAAAGGAATGCGAGACGACAACTCGCGGACCTCCCTCAATATCAACTCATAATCTTCCCGCTACATTCATACGAATAAAAACACGCTCTTAAAAACGCAAACTGATTTTTAATAAAGCCGAAAAAGCGGCAGGGACTCAGAACCGCACACGTCCAGTCCGAAAACTATAACGGCCACGCTCGGCTAGACCAAACGGCCTACGAGGCTAGTCTCAAGGCCGGCAAAGGTCCAGATGCCATCGACATCAATATGCTCGATAATTCCTACACAACATATAACTAGACCGTAAAGGTCTTGCTAGGAAACAGGTCATACGAACCTTAACTCCGAAACGAACTACGAAAGGCTTGATCCCCTCAAAAGGGTATGTAGGCAGCCTTCACAAGGCGCAGCCCTAATTTGAAACGCTTTCCGCTCCCTGGAAAGTGGAAAGATCACTTTCAACGGACCTTTCCGACCATTAATTCCGCCTAACTTAACTAAAACTGGTTAACCACTCGCAAGAACCTTACGCTAAAGGCTCAAGATTCTTACGAGCTGGGGGGCTAACTGTTGGGGTCAAAATCGGTACGACGGAATCAACGGCCGAAACTCCGCGCAGAAAAATAAAAGGAATCGTTTTATAAAACCCAAAGAATCGTTTTATAAAACTCGAGGATCGTTTTATAAAACTCACGGATCATTTTATAAAACTCGAGAATCGTTTTATGAAACCCGAGGATCGTTTTATAAAACTCGAGAATCGTTTTAAAAAACTCGAGGATCGTTTTATAAAACTCGGGAATCGTTTTATAAAACTTGAAGAATCGTTTTATAAAACTCGAGAAGCGTTTTATAAAACTCGAAGAATCGTTTTATAAAACTCGAGAATCGTTTTATAAAACTCGAGAATCATTTTATAAAACTCGAGAAGCCGTTTTATAAAACTCGAAGATCATTTTATAAAACTCGAGGATCGTTTTATAAAACTCGAGAAGCCGTTTTATAAAACTCGAAGATCGTTTTATAAAACTTGAAGATCGTTTTATAAAACTCGAGATGCAGTTTTATAAAACTCGAGAATCGTTTTATAAAACTCAAAGAATCGTTTTATAAAACTCGAAGAATCGTTTTATAAAACTTGAAGATCGTTTTATAAAACCCGAGAATCGTTTTATAAAACTCGAAGAACCGTTTTATAAAACTCGAAGAACCGTTTTATAAAACTCGAAGAATCGTTTTATAAAACTCGAAGAATCATTTTATAAAACTTGAAGAATCGTTTTATAAAACATGAAGAATCATTTTATAAAACTCGAAGAATCATTTTATAAAACTCGAAGATCGTTTTATAAAACTCGAGAATCGTTTTACGAAACCGCGAAAAACCGAAACAGCCGTAAAACGCGAACTAATCGAAACTAGTTCGCCCACCGGCGAACTAGGAGACCCTTGACAAGTTCGCCGGTGGGCGAACTAGTCTTGTCCCGACTAGTTCGCCGTTGCACGAACTACTGACTTTGCCCCAGTGGTTCTTTTCGCCTAGTTCGCCATATGGCGACCTGGCCAAGCTGAACTAGCTCGCCGTACGTCGAGCTGACCATCCCGAGCCTCGATCTCCCACATCCTTGATTCAAGGCATACGTCCTTTGACACGATCGTATTCCGAATCACGGTCGAAATGTCTCATGTTTCGTCTCGATCCGTCCTATCGTTCGAGTTTTACGATAAAAACCGTAAAACTTTGTTTTCTCGAAAAGAACTCGAGGAAATCGTATAAAACGGCAAAGATTAAACGAAACACCGAACATTGCCTAAACTATATGATTTATTTGAGATTTTTCGTAAAAATCGTACAAAACGCGTTTTTAATAAAACCCCGAGTAAATCGTAGAAAACGGCAACGATTAATCGAAACATCAAACATTGCTTAGCTTTACGATTAACTCGAGAAACTTATCTAAAAACGGCATCGTATCAGGAAACGATCTCGTCTAAAGTCGTAAAACGGATTTATCGCAAAACGGCTCGGA